AAACAAACCAGGAGTCTGCTCGCTGGCTTCAGCTGTCGCTGGAGCTCTGCTCACGGACGCAGACGGCGGGGACGGGGGCCAGGCCACGGGGGTGGGGGTGTGTTCCTCAGCGCTGTTTCCACACCCCAAAATCTGAAATAGCCCAGATTAACGTTTCGATGCGTTAACGCCAGCGATTTCAGCATGTCCAGCAGCATCTGGACACCCAGGTCACCATGACGTGAATGCCGTGGCGGTGTTTGTGAAAGGCAACGCCGAGGAGACGCCGTGACGTCAGGATCCACATGACGTGAGTCAAGGGTTCTGACCAGACCGGTCACAGGCATGTGAGAAAAGACACGGTCAGAGCCCACGTCCTGTGCACGTGACAACGCAAGAACGTTCTCAGCAACACCGTGGTGGTGTGCGGTGTGCTCAGGAACGCAAGCCACGTCCCTCCGGGAAGCGAGCGTGTTGGGAAGGGCTGGCTCGTCCGGCGGGAGGGGTGGCAATGGGGTGGGCCGCGGCTGTGCCCGGGTCCACGCGTGTGGGTGCTGAGCGGGCGGGCGGCCTGGGCTAGAACTGCTGGGTGAGGCGTCTGTAATGAGGTAACACCTGCGTCTCGGGAAGATACAGGGCAAGTTCCAAGGCCACGAGCACTGTGAACTCAAACCCAATCAGATCCCGTCTGTTGAATCGAAACCTTTCTTCCAACTTCTGCGTCGAGAGAGAGAGAGAAAGGTTAAGCGGGGTGAGCATGCTTGGGGGGGCATCGGGCCCCATTCCAGGTGGAGCGGTGGGCAGTGACTCCCACCCCACGGGTGGTGCCCGGCAGCACTCACAGGCAGGCGGCGGGGCGGGGCGTGCGGACTCACCTCGATGAGCTGCTTCACCTCGTTCTTGCGGAGGTCGCTGCTGATCTTGGCGGCCAGCAGCACGCAGGCGCCCGCGCACAGCTTGCGGTTCTGCTTGTTGAGCTTGCCCTGCAGGACGAGCTTCTCGAAGTACACGTAGGCCATGGACACGGTCACGGGCTCCAGGCTGCACTCCTCGGACAGGTTCCGCATCTCCCGTTTTAAACTGCGGGTTTGCAGAGAGCCAGGTGCCCACAGGGCCAGGAAAAGCCACCCTCTCCCTGCTCCAGGATAGGCCTTGGGGCTGTCATGGTGCTAGTCCCTCCAGGTGGCGTGGCCCAGCACCAGGGCCCACAGCCTGGTGGGCAGGCAGCAGGCTGGTCTTGGGCTCCACTTGGCTCTTGGCTGGGTCCCTCGGCACCTCGCAACTATACCAAGCGGCGCACACTGTCCTCAAAGGGACACCATAGAGAACAGAATCTCTGTTCTGTGGCACCAAGGGGATCACAAGTACACAAGTGCTAAGACATGGTTGTGCTGAGGTGGCACCTGGACCACCTGTAGAGCCCTTAGAGCTGCTGAGGTGGGGGTACCAGTGGGACAGGGCAGGGCAGGACCCCCGCAAAGGGCAGTGACGGGAACCCTGCCTGGGTCAGTAGCTCTGCCACCTGCTCACTGTGGGGCCGAGTGCAAGCCGCCTTGGAGCGTGAGGGCCTCATCTATTGCATAGCGGTGCCCACCTCACGGCTGTCGTGGGCTGTCATGGGCCCCAGTGAGGAGGGTTCAGTGGGCTCAGCCAGCACAGGTGTGGGGCTGGGGGGCTGCTCTGGGCCTGGTCGCAGGGTAGGAGGGCCGCCTCTGGGTTTGTTGGGAATCTAGGGTTACCGTGGGACCCCTAGGGTAACACACATCAGAAGGTTTCTGGGGGGGGGTCCCGTGGGGGCGGGGCGCAGGGACCTGCTCCGTCCCCTTACCTCCTAATTTTGCTCAGCGTCAGCCTGACGTGTGGGAACTTCTCCCGGAAGGTCTCGTTCATGTCCTTTTTGAGGTCGGAGGGCTTCACATACTCTATCACTGTGGTCTGCAAGACAGGGCAGCAGCTAGGGCCGGCCGGCCTGGCCTGCCAACATGGTGCCCTGTGGCTTAGAGGCACCGCAGCTGGGGGCACGAGCCTCAGGGCAGAGGACACTAGCGCTGGGCGGGTCCCAGGGTGGCATGGCCAGCATCGTTCTGGCCGGCTGTGTGCCCCCTCCCCTAGGCGCTGCTGGTGTCCCCGGGGGTGGAGGGCGCGTCGGCCCTGCCCTGGAAGTGCCAGATGTGAGGCCTGGCAGCGGTCTCGCCGTACCATGTAGGATGCGAAGATGAGGACCCGCTTATGCTTGCCACAGGGCCACTGTGGGTCATCCAGGAGGTTGGGGTTGTACTCCAGGGCGTCCCCCACGTCGCTCCCTGCAAGCAGATGGCAGCCCTGAGATACCACGAGCCCTGAACGCTGGTCCCTGGCTTCGGCCGACCCAAGCCTGAGCAGAACCTGCCAGTGCCCAGGGAGCAGTGGGAGCTGAGGGCGTCACTGGGGGATGGGGTGATGCTCCCAGGGTCTGCAGGGGATCCAGGCCTTGGGTGGACACGAAGCTGACGAGGATGGACAGCCACACCCGCCCCCAGCCATGCGTGGGCATGGCTCCTCCCCACTGGCCGCCTCT